AAATATTCATCATTCGAGGCTGAATCCGAATATGTTATTAAAAATGTTCCATGTCTTAACAGTGATTTTTAAACCTGTTTTATCAACTTGGGGTCCGGACGGACCCCAGGTGGGCAACAAGTGATAGCCCTATAGGTGGTCGTGTCAGGGTTAAATATTTTTTTTCCTCCGGCGGTAGTATACATTGAAAATTTCAAAAATTTCTCCTAAATCATCCTTTTCTTCTCCGAGCGCCGCTCACACTTAAGACATTCTAAATCTGTGAATCTTTTTACTGTTGTCTTTGTTCTTAAAATTCTTCTATTCTGGATACACTAGCTAATAGTAATGCAAAGAATTCTGTATAGCATCTACTATTACACGGGGAAAAGACAACAGTAAAAAGATTAGGTTTTAATTGCAATCGAAAAAGATAAAAATGATTAGGAAATACTTACTGCACCAACACAAACGTATGGATAACTTTAAAATGTTTACAGGAACACTTAAAGCTCGTTATAAACATAGAGAGGTACAGTTGTTTGTTTTTTCTTTACACTTTTTAGTTGCATCGACGAATGGTTTCGTCGAAACCGATGTTGCCCGGAACATCCGGGAGACTAACATTATTCCTTACTGCCTCATGTGTGTATTTCCTGTTATATTGTTGAATTTTATAAGAACAATGTGTGTGCAACGGCTGCTGACAATTCGATATTCTTATTTCTCTTGGTTTCATTTTTTTCTGTCGATATATAACAACGATTTTTATTACAAAGCAAATCAAGGATTGTACAAGTGCAGAAATTCTCTTACTATGTTACTGTATATTTTTGCACACATATACATACCACTTGCGTTTAAAACGCTCAATTTTTTTTCTGTATACAATACTTCGTTAGCAAGCAAGGAAGCAAGCTAGAGTTATGGATGTTATTTATATACGGTTGTTTTCTCTCTCTTCGATCTTTTTCCGTCCGAAGACTTGAAGTAGGCGAAAGATGAAATACGGATTAATTATTTTTAGTGTTTTTGAGAGTTTCGAGGAGAGAGAAAGAGGAATGGCTCTTAACTGTGATTCATACATTTTTTCGTGTTGCCTGCTTTTCTTTTTCCTCGTTCCATCATTCTCAAATACAGTGAAGAATATTGATGATTCTTTCTTGAATGCGATTTGTGGTTTTAATCTGCATTTTGTCATACACATCTTTTATTCAGGAAAAAAAAACCCATTACTTTAGCTAATTCTTATCAGTGAGTCGACCTGCAGCTCTAAATAGAACGAGCCGTCTTTTTTTGTATTTCTGATATAAACAGTGAATAATAAATACATTTGTTGTTCTGATAATTATAGAATCTTTTTCTGCCTCATTTCTTTTTTTATTAGACGACTCAACTAATCTTGCCACCTACTACACGTCGAGCATCAAAACGTTGTACTAATTCCACGTGATTTCTTACATAAGGTATCTTTTTGTCGTATGACACCGGTATAATTAAAGATTTGAGTCTTTTACACTGCGATAAACTATGAAAAAAAAATCTAAGTATTATTTTTCTCCTTAGTTGCTTAATAAAACTATTCGGATATTTTGTTTCTGTTTATTCTAAAAAAAACAATATATTTTTTTTATCGATAAACAATGTCAACTAAAAAACTATTTATACGGGTTTTTCGATTGCAACTTTTTCACTAAAGTAAAATGTGGGGATCTGTTGTCATAGCCGTCTGAAGCGTTTTTCGGGTTTTCTTTTATTGTACTATATTTTGTCCCGTCATGCGCTGTAAAAAGACTTGCTGAACATTTTTCATCTTCTTTATGTGGTCATGTATATTTCTCACACTTTATTTGTGTTTTCATTAATATATGTTTCTTTTTCGGTTTTTGTATAACAATAAAAACCAATGAACGAAGAATAACAACTATTAGATCATTTAAATGGTTGGAACAACTGTTGTTAAAAATATTACGGCTTGACCGCCTAACTGGAAAAGTAAATTCCGTTACGATTTTTTTTGTATTTTCTTTCCCTTATAAATTCTCGAACGGCGAGATACTCATAGCTCTGAAATGTCTCAAATTGAAGAAAAAAGTATATTAAAGATTTTGAGGTGTATCCATACAATCTTTCGTTCAGAAAATAGGGTAAAAATAGAAACAACCAAAATAGATTACAACCTTATTTTGCTATCAGCGTTGATTCTTGCCTAGCAAAAAGTCATTGAGTATTTTATTTTAAAGTAGAATAGAAAGAGAACAGGTAACTTTGACGCAATTTGTCTTGTTAATCAGTATGACATAACCAAACTGATATATATCTTTCAGGAAGGACACAACTTATAAATAATCATCCTAAAAATACTCTTTTTTTTTGTTTCACTATTTTTTACAAAAAAGTTTGGACACTGTTCTTCACTTGTGGATGCATTATATTGGTAAATGAACTAACTGGAGATTCCTTTCGTTCCTATAGAAAGAAACATGTATCATAATTACAGAATATTGTGTGATCATTTCGAACTGTGTTCTAGAAATGATGTTCTACAAGTCGCAAGAGTTTTGGCACATGTTTTTTTCTTCTCTACTGTGGTTTTTGACAGTACATATAATTTTATCACGATTAATAACAACGAAAGACCCAAAACAACATTGGAAACACACAAATATTGCCACATCATTCATTAATTCATTCATGTGCGCTCTAGGGGTTGTCTACTGGTATGTCATTTCTCGTTTTAGGTTCCTTGCATTTGTGTCAATAAAAGACGGTGACTGTTAAAAACTCAAGCTAATCATTTTGTTAACCTTCATCGTTGTTCTGAACATTTACTGTTCATCTTAATTTTAGTTTTTATGAAAATCCAAAAATGATTGACGATATTATATCATCATATACATCAAATGCTTACTCACTGATTTCATTCGAATTTGGTTCGAACGACATTTTACTAATATTCACCGTAGATATCTTTCTTTTTCTTTTCGTTTTCAGGTTATTTCGTTTTTGACATATTGGATATGATATGGGAGAAACGAAGTTGCAAGTTATTTACTCAAATGTATGAACTTCTTATCCATCATTCTGTTGTACGTAAAGTCATTTTTTTTCCACAAAATTGATTGAATAATAATTTTGTAGAAGTAGAAGTTGTAGAAAATGTAGAAGATATTTTCATTTTTCTTAGGTGCTAATCTGTTTTGGTATATCATTATTTACGGGAAAATATATTGCATATGCTGTTGTCGCTCTGGGAGCTGAAATCAATAGTGGATTTTTACATTTTCGACAAATTTTGTTGTTTTGTGATTTTAAAAAGCAGAGTATTATCTATAGAATGAATATATTTCTTACTATTGGTATGTTAAACTATTAAGTATTCATAACAAATAACTTGTATCAACATGATATTTTTCAGTTACATGTATCATATTCCGACATATGCTTATGACGTGGATGTTCAGATGGCTTATATTAAATCGTTTGAATATACCTATTGTGCTCTACATATGTGGAACTATAGGATTGATCACAATGACAGTAATTAATACCGTATTACTTTGGCGACTCGTACTCAGTGATATTATCCGAACTTCTTCTGCCACCCAACAATGACAACATCAATAAAATATCCAAAAGAACAAAAACTACGGTCTAACACATCGGTGAACTAATTATTAATCACACAAATTATTTTGAATAAATTTTTTTATTTTTTACTGTTTCTCGTTTATCTATTGATCAAACGTTGATGTGTACATAGAAACTATTTTGCTACCGAGTTTGTATTTATTTTTTTTCCTTTATTAATTCTGTTTGCTACTTATTTTACTTTCTGTTAGCGACTAAAAATTTATCCTTCAACATTTTTGTTGAACAAATGAGACTTATGAAAACTCTTATGAGAACACTTTTTATATACTAATTTTTGTTTGTATTCATTGTTCTTCTTGTTTATTGTCAACTCAGAATGAATCTGAATGAATATTTTTATCAATGACATTCATTGACAAAGTTTTCTTTGAATTCTTGACCGATACATGTTTGTCCGCTTTTTATTTTTACAGTATAATTTTATTTATACAGTTTATTTATATAATTTTTTAATTTTTTGATATTATTTCAATTGAATTTTTGTCCAATAAAATGTATTTTTTTACATATTATATATAGAGTTATGATTTACATGAAAAATTTAAGATTAGAACAGCAAAAATAACTGTTCAAATAATTTGACTGATTTAATAAATGGTCTTTTATTTATGGTGTTATTTGATAAAGCATGTGCAACTGACTTAAAACATACTAGAACAAAATAAAAATTTTTTATTATTCAAACTGTGGCGAGAGTATTTCACACTTACTTGTTCAGTTAAAGTTGTCTTGTTTATGCTGTTGACTGATAAAAACAAAAACAAATTTAATTTGAATTAAATTAAAAAAAGATAAATAAATACATACAATGAAATATTGCATCTGTTTTGCACATGATAATGAGCCAATTAATAACATCTATTTCACCATCTGGACAATGTTGTTCAATAATATTCTTTAACACACGATTACTTATCACTATACCTATAGAAGAAGAAGAAGAAGTTTGCTGTGATTATAAGTCGATTGTTTTTTTCAACTTTTAGCTTAGCAAAACCCTATGTATTAGATAGACAGAAAAATAAAAAATTTAATGATGTAGTAGACTTGATATGAAAACATTTTCCTACCACATGCAGCAAATAATTCTCTTAAATTAAATGTTGAAATCGTATTTGATGAATTTCTTGTTGTTGTGTTTGTCATATTTTCATATATTAGCTAAAAAGTCGTCATATCGATTAAATTAATTTTAAGTTGGATAAATGATTTTTTTGATAACATACTTGCCATTGACTTGTGTCTATTGCACATTCAACAAGTCGATCAAATTCTTTATATTTCATGCGTTGTAGCTAGAATTTTTATTCCAAAAAAAATTAATCTATGGCTACATAAATAACATCAAGAATAAAACTTACTTGAAAGATGCTAACTAACATAGAACTAGTATCGTCTGTTAGCATATCTATTTAGAAAAGAATTGAGATGAAAGTAGAGATAATTTTATAATTATTAGTAATAATACCTTGTTTTACTAAACAATTAAATATGGTTTTGAATACAGTTGATAATGGCATGTTTGACTTCTAGAAGGGGGAATCTATCGCTTAATTTTCATATATATTTATAGAAAAATGATGGTTGTAACTCGAAATTTTAAGTTTAGTTTTTAAATAAGGAAAAAACTCTATGTTCTTTATAGTTTGTCGAATATAATTTCAAAATCGATAGCTACCTCATAACAGGTTTCATTTTTTAATTCTTCAATTTGTTCTGGCGATAGCACAATCTAAAAGAGTTAAGCAAAAAATGAAGAGATAAAATATTCGTGCTCTATTATTGAATTATCCCTAGTACTACCAACAGGGATCAAAAATGATCCCAGTGACTATTTTTTGAATAACTCAGCATCAAATAAAGGCAGAGACTTGTGATCCATTCGATAGCCAAGACTTGAGGCTATCTTCCCACAGGCAAAAACGAATTCCGAAAAACTTTTCGAAGCCGGTTTTCCAACAAGTTTCCACTTACTTCTTACGTTTTGTTCTAAAAACTAATATTGACACAAGATTCAGCATGGTCGATAATCTATGTTTTGATACATCTTTGAAGATCTCAGATAGAAGAATAGAGAAGTCTCAGGGTTTCGGGAAAAACGCCTGTAGCTGCCAAATGCAGCAAAGTGAAACTTTCACTCAGATCCCATCTTGTACAGGACACTTTGGACTATCTACATATGAAAAAAAACAACAGATTTCCATGTAAAACTTTTGAGCTACTAACTGGTTGTCCGAAGATTCTCTGGAAAATCCGCGTCGAAAATTTTTTCAGAATTCGTTTTTGCCTGTGAAAAGATAGCCTCAAGTCTTGGCTATTGAATGGTAAAAATCATAAGTCTCTGCCTTTATTTGATGCTGAATTATTCAAAAAATATATAAGAATCGTGTGATTTCGATAAAACGAAAGTGATATGATATTTTTGACATATTAGTGTTAATAAACTGTATCTATTTTATTAATTACAACTTACATTTTTCATGTTTTTAAAACATTTGTTCGCACAATCGAGTTCTCTTTAATGAAAAAATAATAGCAATTATGAATAATATAAATATTTACTTTTAATGATATTTGTGTCTACCGTATATTCACATTTCGATCTGAATATAATCGTATGAAATATGTTCCTTCAATATTTATTCTATCATGATGTGGTATCAACAAATAATAGCCCGGTGGTAGCATAAAATGCCATAATACATTTTTATCATTATTTAAAGATGAAATAATCATTTGTTGTTGATTAATAAAAAATTCTTTACGATAAATATCGGATTGAACACAATTCAATGGTACCTAAAAGAATTTTATAAATAAATGAATTGTATTTTAGAAATATACTGTCATAAATTACCCTATAAATACTACAATCGATCACATTTAATTCTGCTGTATTAATCTCAATAATAATTTGTGTATCATTGGGTGCTTGTAATAATAACTGTGGATTGACATGAAAACTATCTAGGAAAAACTAATTGTTTTAAAAATTTAATGAAGACATCGTATATATATATATATATATATTTTTTTTTTATTTTGTTTATTACCCAATACTGACGGAGGTCCACCGGCATTAAATCCAATTTTGAAAATAAGTTTTTGACTATAAACCATATGCCATAATAGACGATTTTTATATGTATCATCAAATATATTCATTTCTGATAAATAAATAAAATTAATATACGTAAATGATGTAATAAAATCATTATAGGACATCCTAAATATAATTATTATATATTTCTAGATAGATTAATTTAATTTAGTTAATATATTTATTACCAAAATGTATTTGTTTGATGATTACGAAGAAGTTCGAGTTGAACTTCATTCGAAAGTGATTGCCATATTGACGATCTAATAAGAAAAATTATTCAACTTGTCATTGTAGATGTAAAAATATTTTTATCTATTACTCGACCTACTGATAACTCCATTCACCAGTCCATGTTATATTTGCCCAAAGATTTTTTAATTGAACAAGTAAAATATCATTTTGTGTTAAATCTCGTACTTTAAATAATTTCTTGACAATATAAATATGATTAATCAGAAGACCTTTTTTATTCACTTGAGTACCGGTATTTGGTCTCTTAAAAAATATATTAAAAATAAAACGTCAATTTTATTAAATATATAATAGGATAATCAATTGTAAACATACAATATTAGATACAGTGATAAGTGTCGTCGTTTTTAATGCCAATGTTAAACGCCATAACAACGTTGATGATGATTGAGATTGTATTAAAAGTGTTTCAACTGGTGCACCCGTTAAATCTTTTATACATTGTGCAAAAGTATTTCTATCAGACAATTCGTATGATCCACAAAATCTAAAATAAATTTAAATGATATAAAAACAAAGTAGAATTAAGATCTATTCTCATACTTTGCATACGCTTTTTGTAATAATGGAAGCCAATATTCATTTCTTGATGTTGGTGTTAAATACAATAATTGACCTTAAAAGTTATTAAATTTAAAAATAAAAACAAATATATCAACATGTGTAAGAAAGTTACCATCAAATGTTGGTAATTGATCATCGATAATAACATCTTGCCATTTATTAATAAACCAAAATCGAAAGAGAAAAAGTCCGGCATAACCATAGTCAAGATTTTGTCTATTGATTAAATTTAAGGACAACGAACAATTTTGTGCTACACATCCAACAGCGCTAAAAAACCATGAATCTCCTAAAATGAAGAAAATAAAAATATCTATTTGGCTAACTGTCACCCTCAGCTACGCTAGAATAAGCGATGTTTTTTCCTCTCAAACCAGTCTTAAAAGCACATTACTAGACGCAGTTTTTTGCGTTGATTACGAATATCAACTTTAAAACGAACGCAACTCAAATTTTTAAATCGAAAATTCAAATTTCAAATTTAGAAATTTTTTTATTGCAATTTTCTGAATTACTTAGCTTTTTAGAAATTTTCAAAAAGTATATCAGTGGATAAAGAATTAAATTCTCTACAAAATACACTATTGACTTTGTCAAAACAATCTTAGATAACGCATTTTACACGCTAAACAAATTTTTGCTGGGTTTTGCCGAATTCAAAATAGTACTTTTCTTGAAGCAATTGTACGAAAATCAAAAACATTTCTCCCATCGTTCTTTTTTGCTTAGTTTGATAGAGGGCACTCAATTGCATAAGGTTCCGTGCAAATCAAATTTATAGAGGTCTTTTTACCGGTAGAAATATAACGATAAAACCCACCGCAAAAGAAAGAAAAACATTTTAATTCCGTCACGACATCTATTTTACTCATAAAAACCGTTCTACTTAACCGATTCATTCGTAATTTTTAACACAAACCAAGCAATCTACCATACATCTCTGATAAACTTTTCATCACCTTTTGTTCAGTATTTGAGGAGAAACCGAGCTCAAAAATTGCAAAAGTGTAATTCTGTCATGCGCATTTAAGCCGTCTTGTATTCTAAATCGAAAAAAAAAAATGAATACCTAATAATCCTTGTCTTAAATGGAATAACGTTGGAATATTAGTCAAAAAATTGGCATCTAATTGAAGGTCCTAAAAGTTAAATTATTTAATATATGTTTGATTTTTAAATAGATATTCAATTTATTATTACTCTTATTCGACGCCATTGAACTTGAATTTGCATAGATTCTGTAGTTGACAATGAATAGTCACATGCTGGAAATTCATCATCATTATACAGATGATGTCTAAAGGAAAACACGATAAAAATATTATAAAATTGTAAACAAAACTTTAATAATGGGACACTTTTTCGATATATATTTTTTTTTTTTATCCTTCTATGCTAAATATCCTACAAATATGATAACCAAAAAAAAATGAAATCGTACATTGATAATAATGCATTTTTCAATTGATTAAAGTATTCATTTATCGTTTGATCATATCCAAGTTCTTTTACTGGATGTACATTTATATAATGATGTTTGGTTTTTTCTGATAAATCGGGCGTTGAAATGAAAATCGTAGATTTTTCTTCATTTAACGTTGGGTTTAATTGAAAATTATTAGAATTAAAGAATGTGTTAGGTACATTATAATGTGAGACAGCACGTAACCGTATCGGACTTGTTCGACGCCTTTGCTGTGTAATAGCCGATCTAGGCTTTCTAATTACTTTTAGATCAAGCTATAAAATGTAGATAATAATAAGTTTGTCATAGTAAATAGATTTTATTTTTGATGTTTTTTTTTTAAAAAAAAACTTACGTAAGTATTATTTTGATTCTCATCAAATTCATCTACGTCAATCGGCATCTGTATTATTTAAAATATCGTTTTATATACATTTTAAATATTAAACAAATGATTATTAAAATCAATAAAATATTCTATATTTATCAGACAATAAAAATAGATAAAAAATAATTATTTTTGTATTATTATTATTATTTATCGATAGAGAACAGATTCCATATTTACCTTGACACAATGTGATTTTTTACGCAAAAGTGATTTTGAATAGAAAAATAGTGAATATGGTTAGAATAAATTCAATAATAAAGGTGTCAATAATGATAGAACGTTTTTATCACTATGTCAAAAATTTCTTTCAGTAGATTCAATGAAATTGAAATGATACCCGAAAGGAGTATTGTCTGTATAGCAAAAATAACAAACTTGAATGAACTTCTTTTGGGCAACTCTTATATTAATACATTTTATTACTTGTTTTTTTTCTTCTCTCTCTCTCTCTCCTAAGGACAACTTTAATTTCCTTGATATTCAAAACAAACCCATTTGTGTGAACTCTGTCAGTTTTTTTATTTTTTATTTAATAATTAATTGAACTTTTTTTTGTTTTTGAAATATAATAAAAAATAATTTAATCATCTCCTTCAAGTCTTTTACATTTATCCGATGCTTTTTCTCCATTTGATTCTAATTTAGCAATTCTTGAACCAAATTGAATTGCACGCTTTGGAAATTTGGATGTTGACTGTAATGATAAATATTTTTGTGCTATATATCGCAAAAGATATTTTTCGCCAATACCACGTTCCAAACGTAGATCAGCCTAGGAAAAAAAATGATGAAAATAAAAGAAATATTTTTATTTTATTATTGCAAGAATAATTTATACTTTTAACCACACAGGAACTGTCTGTAGATAAGAAACAATTTTTTCGTCCAAAAATGGAAAACGTACTTCTTTACCAAGACTACTAATAACACTAAAATAAAACGAGAATAAAGATGTAAAGTTAGATGTTAATATAAACAATCTACCGATCATCTCTTCCAAGATTTCTTTTTGCTATTCGTTCCATTTCCATTTCTAATTCTATTTTGAGTCCATTCCAACTTGATTTTCGAAATGTTGTTCGATGACGTGAATAACCGGCTAATTGTTCATCTGCTCCTAATCCCGATAATAGAACCTTTACACAAAACAAAATTTATTTAAAAATTTAAATTGATTCATTTTCTTATTCAGATATACTTCAGCTGTGCTTTCGTATAATTGTTTATCGATCCATCCTATTCCACGTGCTGCAAACCAAAGTGCGCTTCCAATACTATCATCTAACACCGTGGAACATGGATAAATAACATCTTTAATTATTTCATCACGTAAACATTTTAATTCATTTAAATCAACATCAATCTAAACAAGGAAAAATATAAGAAATATTGAATAAATTACATAATCAATACACTTCATACTTGAACAAAATTCCATTTTCTATTAGTATTTAGTTCCATTAATGCTTGTAAACCAGTTTGTCTATCAGGTGGTGGAACTGTTGTTGTTTTATTTGACAAATCGGGGTAAAATGCAACATTTAACAAATCGATTTGTTCATTTTCTGGCATAAATTGATCGGCTATTGCAGCCAATACACTACTATCGAGACCACCGGAAAATAAGATAGCTAATTTTGAATGTGGACAAGAGTTTTTCAAACGAAGATTAACTTTATAATTTAATTCATTTTTCATATAGTCTCTTTTACATTGTCGACATAACGTTGGTAAATTCGTTACACGACATTCAACAGCTGAACGTAATAACGAATAATATGTTTCACTAACTGTTTGAAATTGTTCAGAATCAACGATATCGTTTAGTGAAGAAATAGAATCAGATATAGGATAATCCATTTTTACTGTCAATGTTCGAAATAATAATTCGTCAAATTCAAACGTCTGATTTGATTTTACTTGACATGTATAAATGATACCAGCATCAAGTTCATTATACATCTAGAATATTAAAATTTCACCACTATAATTGAAATAAAACAAAAAAAGATATATTACCAAAGATGTTTTGGATTCAGATAAATTGAGTCGAACTGAACTAATAATTAATCTGATATTGTCATTAATAGACGATAATGAATGAGAGAGGAGACTACGTCTTCCAAGTGGATCGCGTCCATAATAAAATGTGTTTGTTTGTTTCTAAACTAAATTTAAAAGATACTCTGAAAACTAATAGTTTTGAAAATAAACATATTTTTAAGATTAATTCTCACTTGAAAATAGATGAATGCATAACATCCGTCTAATGTGATAAAAACTTGACGAATTTGTTCAAGATTAGTGCATTGTTTTAAATAATTAAACAGTACTTCACCATCATTTTCTTCTGGTTTCACCTTTAGAAAAACAATTGAAATAGAACTCAGTAGAATTGGATGTCTGACACTCACTACTTACTTGTATTCCATTGTATATTTCGCCATTCCAAAGAAATATATTTCCATTTTCATCTATGAATGGTTGCATTTGTGTATGGCCTCGTAAACATAATACACTAACGGCAAATGTCACATAAAAATTTGGTACTATTTCAATTGACTGTAGCTGTTGTTGAATATCCGGACCACGACGATTGAGCTGTTCAAGATCAAGTTGGACATTAGGCTACAAAAAAAATAAATAAACAATTTCAAAACTGCATTTTGATCCAATGATACCCTATTAGTTCGTACTTGAGTGTGCAAACAAAAGCATATACCACACATGTCTTCTTGTGTAAAGATCTAAAATTTAGTGGAGACTAATAACGCTGTTTGTTTTGATAAATAGAAAAATATTTTCTTTACGATTAGAATCATTTTTTTGTCCCATTGGAAACTTTAGTAGTTATTATTTTTATTTTTCATACACGTACAACGGTGTAAACAAATATAGAAAAACACAAACGCTTTCAATTAATAACTCTTACACCTAGAGTAAAAAGATAGAGTGTGTTACACAACTTAACAAGAACATAATCAAATCATAATCAAATTTTTCAGTGGAACTATTATTCATTTTGCAGCTGCCATGTTGAATGAAAAAAGAAACAGATGAGAAATAGACGACGGCGGTACAAAGAAAAAAAAAAAACGAAAAGTCTTGCAGTTAGCAAATACAATAGATATCAAAGATATTTTTGATCATGCATGATTATTGAATGGACATTTTTGTTTCTAATAACGTTGATAATAGCCTCGACGATTTTTTGTAGTTGTATATGTTGAACGATTATTTGATGCTAAAAAGATAATAAATTAATGTAAAAAGATCAGATATTTCTCCTTGAAAATCCGCCTAGATATCTATAAATTTAGCAAAAATAGTTGAAGATCTTTTAAAAAGTGGTAGTAACTCCAAAATGGATAATTTATGAGAATTCACACGTTTTACTTCATGAGGAGAGCGTGTATTACTCTCATTTTAATTAGATAATAAGATCAGTAGTATTACTTACCATCATTACTAAATTTTCCTCCGGGTGGTTTATAAACAGCTTGTTCAGGTCGAGAAACACGTTTATTTGATGCATTATCTTTTGAGTTTCCATTTGCGCCATCTGATTCCGATATTGATCGTTTTAACTCTTCCTTTAAGAAATAACAATAGAAGCTATTTAGAGTGAACAACAGATAAGTCTGTCTAAAAAAAACTTACAATAGGTTTCCATGATAAGGTGACAGTTGTTTTGAATGATGGCGGAGATCGACAAAGATCTCTTAACAAGGCTTGATTATTTGAACAAATTTTATATGCAATTAACCGTGATTTTTTCTAAATGAATAGAACTCTGGTTAAAAAAATATTTTTTCCTCTTGTTAAAAACAAACCTGTTCATCTTGATCGTCTGTATTCGATTTAATATCTATTGCGGCTTTTAATTGATTTGTATAATTGGATAAACCACGATAAAAGTATCTTAATCTAGAGAATAAAAATATGAATTCAATTAAACAGTAATAGACAACCTTTCTCATTGAACTTACCTTAAACGAAAATCTTTTACTTTTTCTTCGTTTTCTTCAGCAATTAAAAAATCAGGATATTTTCGTGACAATTGATGTAATGAATACATTAAACATTCAATAAATGAAAATTCAAAAACAGGTGTTTCATTATTTGTTGATGTCGATTCTTCAACTGATTCTGCTTGAGGTTTTGGCAAAAATGTCTAAACAATACGAGAAATCTGATTTATTTATACCATGAAGAATGGATAATCAACTTACCAATAAAACGTCAAATAATTTGCCTAAACGTTGTTTTACATTTTCAAATTCACCACAATATGGACACATTTCAGCTAATACACGAAATAAATCTAATTTATCATCGGATGATAATGGAAGTTTTGGAATATTCTCTACAACATAATCTAGCATGAATGTGACAAATTTTGTTGAATGGACATTTTTCTAGAAAGATAACTAAAGTATATTTAATCAGACAAAAAGAATTATCTGATAATTCGATGCAGTAGGTACTACATTTTTTGATTGTTTATCAGACACACGGCTACATTTATTTCAATAACTCTCACAAAAACATTTAACGTACTGAGAGGAGTGAGATTGCATGATTCATAAATGCTGCTACAGTAGCAATTCGATCGGTATCTTCCCCCTAAAAATCAAAGAATATTTTTAAAATAAAGCTTAAATATAGATCAATGAAGATTCGTTGTTATTCGTCTTAGTTGATATAGAGAAACTATAACTAGTTTTTACCGATCAAAACTTTTACGTTGATGAAAACAGGCGATTTTTTCAAGAAATTAATATACAAACTATACTCCTGAGAGTCATATCCCGAAAAAACTTAAGTCTAAGTTTAAAATCGACTTAAGTCCAGGGATTTAAACCGTATCACGAAAAAGACTTAAGTTGACGATTTGTTTACTTTTTAAAAGTCGTTGACAACAGTGACAAACTTCGGATGAAAACCCGCAAAATAACGAAATATTTATTCTCTAATCCTTAGAATGTCGTTTTCGTCGAATCATATCGTTAAATGCCTGATCTATTCAAAAAATGCGTCAATGACTCAAGTCCGACTTAAGTTTTCGGTCTTAATTTTAAGACTACATTTCCCGTGACTTAAGTTCTTTTGTGATATGACCCCCTGAGACTTTTGTAAGTTTATATTTCTGATTGCCAAAGAACATTTTTTGAAAAAACATTATTCAACAAATTCATCTTACATTCCATCCTTCTTCTAAATGACATTGAGCTGTAATCATATTCACTAATTCTTGTCGTGCCAATAATGTTTGCATTGATTTTAAAGTAGATAACAATTTTATAACAGTAATAAATTCTTCAGGATCGAGATCATTTGCAATCTAAATTTATGTAACAGAAACTAATACTGATACAACTATGGATAACTTCTATGCGTTCTTTATCAGATTTACTATTTAGAGTTATGATTACTATCAAGTTCAATCAAATTTTCATTTACATCGTTTTTACTCACTTCTTTACATTTTTTAATAATATGTTCTTCAACATCTTTTGATAGATCACTTTCATCTAAGACACCAATACGTGTACACAGAAAACCTGTATAAAAATATAACTAATAAATATCAATTGTATATTCGCGAATAGAAAAATCATACGTACGTAATGCTCGTTTGCGCAAAAGATCTTCTTGTGAACGTTGTATTTCATTCAGTATTTCTGAAACTGTTTCTAAAATGAGGAAAATAAGGAAAACTAAAACGTATGCTGCACATATTTTCATGACTATTGTATTACCTATTTGATTCAAATAATAAACGGCTAATAATGAACCTTGAACTTGCGTTATTTCAGTTGTATCATTAGCTTGTAACAACTGTATTAAAATTGAAACCACACGTGGTAGTGTTTCTGGCGACGCACGAACCAATGTTGGAAGTTCTTTGACGGCTTGTTTACGAATCTAAATATAAAAATTTATCTTTTTTCGATAAAAAATCGATTATTATTATTAATCTTACCGTCACATCTTCATCTTCACATAAATCAAATATTGCTTCCAAAGCTTTAGTCATTTCTGTCGGAAAGTTTTTACAAAATCGTCCAATGAACTGCAATGCCAAACGTTTTTCTTTTGGGCCAGCTTTTATTGCTTCAATCAACTTAGAAAATGCCTCAAGCGCCTAAAGGAAGTAAAAGAAATAAAGATCTTTATACTTTACAAACTATGACAAAGGAACCTCAGGTGATTTATTTGATTCATTTTTCTCTGCCAGAATATTATAATATTCGTAAATATGATCGATTGTCACCATGATAAATTTTGTATACGCAGTTTTCTAGAATATAAATCTAAAATAAAATAATATAAATAAACAAACAGCTAGGATGTAAAGTAAAAATGTTTTAAACGAAGAAGGGAGGAACACTTTGGTTTATGGCTGGCTACCGTTGCTAATATAGGCTACTAAAGTTAAAAAATATGGCACTAGAACACTTTTAGTCACAAATGTCTGAGTGATAGTAACACGATGCTAAGCTTTTTCTGTCGTTTTTTGTACGGAACGTACTACCACATGAATGCGCAACCTTTTTCAATTGATAAACTTATTGCTTTGTACTAAGATCGTTGCATAGCAAAATTCTTCTTTCTTCTTTCTGACATCTTTTAAATCCAATTTTACCCTGTTTTTTCCTAGTTACTATCCATCTTGGAGATTCGCGATACACATAGACTCATTCTCTAGGTTCTACTGACGAATTTTCCGAAAAAATGCCAATATCTTATTTAATTATGGCGTAATCAGTGCCTAAACAGGACAAATAAAAAACGATAATTAGATAGCCAGCTGACCTGTGGGAAGATTGGAACGTCGACTGCGTGGAACGGTAAATAGATGAAATTAGAACATCCAGAAAGTCATAACAGTTTGACTTTTGGAATTGCTGTCGCCAAACACTTCTGGTGATCTGTTTGATCCCCAGCACTGCTCGATTATTAGTTTCTTTAGTTTATGTATAATTTATACATAAACGAGAGAGTCTAGACGTAATCGAGAAAAAAACGAAAACTAAATGGGTATTCAGTGTATACAGAACTATAGACTGATAAGTAGCATGTGATTACTTACATAATGAGTCACTGCAAAAGGTTCATACTGAATATATATAAAATGTCACATGATGATTAATTATTGCATATTAAAAACGACTGAGTCCATGAAAATATGCTCAGATTTTAGAGCTCATACAATACGCTAAGTAACAGCTATATTGAAAAACTAATTCCAGATGTGTCATGTATAGCTTTTAGCCTTTCTGTTGATCTTTGTCCTAAATCTCTACGATTAGGAATAGCTGACGACGAATGGTTCACTCGAGAAACAAAAGCTTGTGGAAAGAATTTTTTATGGTGTAACGGAATAAGCCTCCTCAAGTTTCACTCGGTCGACTTAAATAACATCGAGTATATCTTGAATGAATTAATTAGCACGTAATCACAGATACAGTATATACGGTGAATTACAGACAGAATTCATAATGATCACGTGTATGTTGACACAGTAAAGAATGCATTGAATCGATTTATTAGAGGCTAGCTGCTGAAGGCTATAATAGCTGTTACGACTTAAGTAAAGTTAGTTTAAAAATATACGAAGCTGATTTTTTCTACAAAATATCTGGTTATCTTGTTGGCGGCAACAAATTTCCTATCTTACCGAAGTGGAGTTGGTGTGTAGTGATAGTTATATATTTACAAAGGAATTACTATAAAAAACACAATAACCATGTATACGTGAAAAAGGTTCTATAGTTGTTCAAAAACAAACGAATCAAAATGAAGTGCAACTCTCTACAGTAAATGTCATTAATATAGGAGTTTACGGTAGTTAGAGCCACACTACGAGACATTTCCACGTCTCAGCACTTTTAACTGAAGAGAGTGGGGCTGATAAAAACCTCCATCAGCAAAGCATACGGCATCTTTCATCACTTCAACTCATGAGTAGTTTCATGCAGCTCAGTAAATTCATGACAGTACAAGTTCATGGCATGAACTTTTTAAGCTCGCGTCGCATAACAGTGGTTAATCCGACGCATGGTTTGCTGTAGTTGTGTAATGTAGCCAGAATTATTTACAGCGAAAAACGAATAAATTACTCACCTAAGATCCTTGTGAGTGTCAAAAACAGCTTTTCCTTTGGAGTGAGTGACAAAATACACACTCGCAAAAATGGAGGACAGTGTTTTCAGGATGACGCCAAGTACCCATCAACGTCAGCCTGTCTTTGTCCTGATTGTTTCTATGGTTCAAAATGTCAGTTTTCAAACAAAGATTTGCCACTTTCACTCGACAGTATTCTCGCCTATTATATCCGATTCGTCCAGATGCAAAATTTCGAGCCCAAATGACTGTGATCAAATTCAGTCTTATTCTCGTCAGCGTTATGTTTATCGTTGGTATTGTGAATGGTCTTCTTTCAACACTAGTCTTCGTTGGTAGGGCAGCACACAAAGCTGGTTGTGGTCTTTATCTTCTTGTAACATCTCTCTTCTCCATTTTGACGATGACCATGTTAACTTTGAAATTTGTTTTTCTTGTTCTTGCACAAATGACGTTCATCACAAATCAAACGTTTCTTCATATACAATGTCTATCAATAGACTTTGTCCTCCAAACTTGTCTTAGTTTTGGTGACTGGCTGAATGCATGCGTGGCTGTCGAACGGACATCAACGGTAGTGCAAGGCAAGATTTCGATAAGCAAAAAAGCAAAGGAGTAGCTAAATGTATGATTGTTTTACTATTTCTCGTAATTGCTGTATCAAACTTGCACGATCCCATTAATCGTCATCTCATCACCGATGAGGGCGAACAACGTACATGGTGTATAGTACGTTATTCTTCACCCGTACAATTATATAATTCTATCATACAAATTTTTCATTTTCTCACGCCATTTATCTGTAACATTATTTCGTCTTTGATTATCATTTTCAACATCGCTCGAAGACGTTCTCGCATTCAACAGCAGAATTCATTCGAAAGACATATTCGTGAGCCGTTGATTCATAACAAACATCTTATTTCACCTATCGTACTCATTTTACTTGCTTTCCCTCGTCTCATCATTTCTTCAATACCGGATTGCATGAAATCAAACCGTGGTCCATTGCTGCTTCTGATCGGTTATTTTACTTCATTTGCTCCCTTACTGCTTACCTTTGTCGTCTTTGTTTTGCCTTCAAAAACAGTGAGAGCGGTTGATGTTTTATGATTCACGTGTGATTATTACCAATCACAACTAAAATTTGTTGTTGGTGGATTACATAGTTTTAGTTCAATAGAAAAAACTGGTTTATTAGAATTATGCCAGTTATGTATAGATGTCAGAAGTGCTTATGGTCGAAAGTGCATCTATTCGAACCTCTAGACTATCCTCTTTAAAACTACACAAGTTCAAAATTCTTACTCCCATATGGGCATTTTCCCAGGACCTACCTATCGGCTGAACTTCATGTTTGGGAACTTTCAAAACACATGGAACATAGGTTATCGATCATGTTAAATCTTATGGCAATATTTGTTTTTCGAGAAAGCTTAAAAAACTAGTGAACTTCTGTTCTAACACGATGAAGTTCTATAATAGTTTTAAAAACCAACAGAAAGTACTGTGGTTTTTGAAAATTTTTTGTACAAGCTTTGGGATTAAGCGAATGTTTTGCACTAATTTTTACTACAAAATGCGGTTAAGCACATAAAATGGAGTATATATTCATATTTTGAAGCAGTTTGGATCAATTTTGAGTGAATTATGAATTCTTTAATTTTCGATGAAAACACTGAAAACTGGATTATTTTTGGTCGAGTAAAGGTTTTCCCTAGACTTTTCCGACAAACAAACAGTGCTATAAGATTCAGCATGATCGATAACCTCGATAACTTGTGTTTTGAAAGTTCCCAAACATTAATTTTAGCTGATAGGTAGGTCTTGAGAAATTGCCCATATGAGAGTAAGAATTTCGAACTTGTGTAGTTTTAAAGAGGACAGTCTAGAGGTTCAAATAAACCTGTCAGAATTCAAAATAGGTTATTTCTCTTGAAATGGGAAGCTTTCAGATTTTGTTACACCATGATCGACCTGATCGGAAGGCCTAATTTCTCCATAGATTTCTGTTCCAGTAGCTCCTCTATCAAATACCGGAAACCGCATGGTTCTAACTCTTTCTGTTAAAAAGTTATTAAAAAAATACTTTTTTCGATACAATTTTGAAATGGATAGTAGATTACTAAATTTTACGATTTTTCTCTACTCTAACTTCAAACATCATATAATTCATAAATTTACTATATCCCAAGAGAAATTTCAATATCATATACTCAAATTTCCTGAACGCTATCAGGGAATGTATACATTCACTGATTTCCTACACTCCCTGTAACATATATATCTGCTTTTCTGTTCATTTGAGTGCAGTATAAATGTATTTAAAAATAAAAGTTGTGAAATCAAAGAGAAACACGGTTACAATAAATATGCTGCTTACTAAAAGGAAAGCACATAATCATAATTTATTGAGCAAGAGATGGTATACTGGTAATTTTTCTGATAAACCATCGCAGCAACAATCATCCTCAAGTGAAGACGAAGAATTCATTAATCCACAACCAGATACCATCGGCTTTATCAACAAGCAAATTTCATCAGACATCGGCGACTTATATACATTATGTCCAAATGACAGCTTTCAATTGAACGAATTAAATTATTCGCAGATTTCTTCAAATTATTTATTTTATAGTAACGTTCGTCAATAAATGTTGCTAAATCTGCCGCCTGTGCTTTCCACTTACAAAATCGTTGAAATCTTCATATAAAAATCTTTTAGCCTTTAGAAAATAGACTAAGTGAAAAGCGAAAAGAGGATGAAATTGTCTTTCTTGAATACAATGACGATTTCGCTAGATATGACGATTGCAGATAGAGAGAGAGAAATGAAATATCTGAATACAATATACCCTAACACTCATGAATAAAATTAAAAGTTAAAAATCAATCAAACGAGTTAGAAATCGCTGTTCGTTTTTTTCAAATTTTGGAAAAATTGTTATAATTTTAGATTGTGGATCTATAAAATATTTCGTTTTTAACTACTGAGGATGATATGTTAACATATCGAAATGTTTAGTTATTTTTATTAATAAATACGAAGGGAAAAGTTCAAAGATTTTTAACTAAATTATTAACTTCGTAAACAATTATAGCATTAATTATAAATTCCACCAATCTGGGACTCTTGACAGACTTTCTCTTATGGGAGTCATAAGAAAAACATTCTGCTCTCTGAGGAGTGCTGTAGGAGTCCATGCATGACTTTCTCCAACAGGACTCTCGGCAGGACTCCTGCAAGAATTTTTTTGGGACTCCTCATGACTCCATGTTGGACTTTTCACTTTAGAAAGTTCCTGCGAGAGTCATCAGGACTCCTTACGATTCCTGCTGGAGTTTTTCATAAACGTGGGACTCCCGTTGGAGTTTTGCCGGGAGTCTCGACTAGGGAGCCCGTTCTATGTCAGACAGCATGAGAAGTTCCAACCTATTTCACAGGAAGGACCAGATTTTGTGTGTTGTGTCTGCAGTAGAATGATGTTTGAGAATCAGTTGTTACTGCATGATAAATCAGTTTATTTTACTGTTTACGAAGACACCAGTTGCGAGCATAGTAGAATACATGTTGCTGTTTCTCGTTCTCAGTAAATTCAAACGTTGTCCTGAACAATAACTTGTTTGGTGTGATCTAAATTCGTTGAAGGTTTCACAACTTTATTCGGAAACATGGTATTAAGATCAGCATTTTCCTCATTTCTTGATTCGCGTAATTGTTCAACCACACGATGTTTTCTATGAACCATTAACGCTCATTCTTCAATCTCACTCGTCTCTGCTACTTTTCGAAATGTATCTTCCATTGCCTCTAAGTCTGCATTGTATGTCTCATATTTTGCCGTATTCGCATCAATAGCAGGTTTAACTCTTCCAATTGTATTGTCAGGAACATCCAGAAAAACCCAAATTTCATAAAATTGCTGATACGAATCTCCCGTTTTAAATCTTCTAGTGAATCAATTGATAAAAGCAATATTACTATATTCTCGTAATAATCTTCCGGCTGCCTCTCCTTACTAAATCGCATAAATCGTATTATTGCACAGTTCTCTCGTCTGTTACTACGAACGATAAGCGTTGTAAACGTTTGCTATGTACTCTATTGCATGGGTTTGAATCAATGTGGTACAAAGAACAAAAGTCAGCTAAGCAAATGTTAAA